TGGTCGGATTCCAAAGGATCTCCTGTACGGCCACCTGCCCACCCACCTCCCTCATTAGTGCCAAAGCACTATACTATTTTGGGCAGTTTAAACGGAATTAAACACAAAGCTTCATGCCACTAAAATATGATACAAATAGCAATAATGTGGCAAGAGCATTAAAAACAACAGTGGCACCAACAAATTATCACACAAAAGCGAAGTTGGAGACAAAACGCTCAACCAGAGTCAGATTGAAAAGCCTCCTTGAAAACCAGTGTTTTCAGCTGTCGACTAAAAGAATACAAACAAATAAATGACATAGTGTACTTGCACTGCATTATTAAGGATCGTTAATGTTATGATTCTTTTTATGGCTTTATCTGCCAGAGCACCCCAACACATATAAACATTAGTGTGTTTAAATCTATTATATATTTAATTACTTTCTATCTCATCATTCTTCCTTGGGAGACCCAGATTGGATTATAACATAAAATTAAAAACCATGCAACAAAAAAAGCACAGTGTTGAAGTATTAAATCAGTGTTAATTAATAATTATAGTAATCATGTGTCATCAAGTCTAATCTGACTTGCAGCAGCCATTTTCAGGGTTTTCTAGGGATTACTCAGGAGTAGTTTACTGTTCCCTTCTTCTTGGGGTGTCCTGGGATTGTGCAGTTTGCCCAAGGCCATACAAAGTCACTCTTCTGGGACGCACATAGGTAATAGAACTTCCAACCTCTGACTCTGTAGCCAGATATCTAAACCACTGAGCTATCCAGCAATTGTTAAATAGATTAGGGGTCCCCAACGCCCTGTCTGTGGCCTGTTACCAGGCCATGGCCTTGGCAGGACTGGGCCGCAGAGACAGATCTCCCGCCCCCCATGCACGCACATAGCCCCCCCATATACACATGAATGCACACATGCCCCGCCCACAGACACAGACAGACCCATGTCCCCCACATGCATGCATGGACACCCCGCCCACCCACACATGGACACGCGCCCAGCCCATGCATGCACTCATGGACACTGCCCCGCCTCCGCCTGCCTGCTAAACCGGTCTGCGGTGCGAAAAAGGTTGGGGACCACTGAAATAGATGATCACATGATAACAAGTACTGAATTGGATTTTAACAAGTACTGAATTGATACCCAGTTGTACAAACAACAACATGAATACAACATCCACAATTAAGACCCTTTCTTGCAAGTCTCATAAGTCTATAATCAGTGGCCAAAAATGCCTTTATTTGCTCTCAGAAGGATAGTGGGAGTAGGGGATTTTGTAACACACTCGTGTTTGAAGCTCCCATGTTGATACTAAATGTGAA